CACACACACACACACACACACACACACACACACACACAAAGGAAAAAAAAAGAAAACAATGTGAAGGTCCTGGCTTCAACTCTCAGTGCTTAAAAAAAAAAAAAAAAAGACAGTGACTTACCCTGCCGTTGGGTACAGCAGCTACACTCAGTTTCATAGGGTCAACACTTAAAAAATCCAGTAGTTTTCAAACTTGTTTTGCAAACCACCTTTATTCAACAAATACCTACATAGAAGGTCAGTAATATAAAATGATACAGTAGAGCTCTGCTGTTGGCCCCCAAGGTAGGGGCCTGGCGCTGCCCTGATTGATGCCCTTTCTCCTTCAAAACCTTACCAAGGATTTCCTGGAATTTGGAAGAAAATAGTTTGACTTTTCTGTCTGAGGAAATGAAGTCTGAAGTCTCACCCACGGTCACAGCTCAGGTCCAGATGCCTTAGGTGCACTGGTCAGTCTACTAGTGCTTGAGAAGAGGCAACTGCTTACGTAGTACAAACCGAGAAGCGAGGCGTGTTTTCCTACCCTAAGCGCACTCCCACTCCCGACAGTGCTCCCTCACCCATGTCCGTTGCCATCTCCTAATCGCCTTATCAGAGAGGTGAGTCAGAAAACAACAAAGCAGGGGTGCTGTGCTGCATCAGCTTTCAGAGTTCAGAAGCCCTCAGACAGGAACTGTGTGTGCAGGGCAGTAGGATGCGGCTGGAAGGGGACTGTCCCTGAGGGAGTGCGGGAAGCCTCCAAGATGGTGTCTCAGGTTGGCCTTGGTTTGGCCACACACGTGGTCTTTGACGATATTATCTGCCTAAGTGCCGTGCCTAAAGGAATTGAAAATGAGATAAAACTGTGAAAACTTTTCTTTTTTCGCAACAGCTCACAAAGAAAGTGAACAATATAGAGACCGGCTGGGCCTTGGGGGCCACCTTCCACCTGCTGCAGTCTCTGGGTGTCTCCCACTGAGCCACGTCCTGCTCCACTTCCAGCAACTGGCTTTCCAGGGAAGGGCTTCTGCATACGGGTCTCACCCTTGAACCTAGAGATTTGGGTTTAATTTTATACATGGAATGCAAACCATTATCTGACCCTTGGGATTCGCCCTGGCCCTCGAGCCTTGGTGAGCCACAGATAGCTCTGCAACTCAGCCTTGGCGCGACAGCTCAGGGACACGTCCCTGGGAACCAGTGAAGAGTCCTACTTCAACACCTGGGAGTGCCTCATTCTTTGGAAACTATAACTGTCCTCTTGTATGCTAAATTAAGCCAATTTATGTCAGTCTTTTTTCCTCCCCAGAGACTGTCTGTCCTCACCACTGTGTACTTCTCCCTGAGAGAAGAAAATGCCTGGTTTTGCTTTCTATGTGTAATTAAAAAAAAAAAAAAGAAGAAGAAGAAGAAAGAAAGAAAGGAAGGTGCTGTGTCAGATGAAAGGCCTGGGAAGAGAGGCTGTGCAGCCGGGTGTGGGGCACTTGCCTCACCCGTCACCCCAGCTTCCAGCAGAATACAGAATGGCGGGGGCTGGGATGGAGCGCAAGGTTCTGACTCCAGTACCACGATAGGACAGACGGGTGGGTGCCCTGGCATGCATCTGTATCTGTGGGCCGTGTAGCAAGACCTTGTCGCAGAGCACAGAAAGGACTGGGGCTGAAGTTCCTCGGCAAAGCACTTGTCCCGAGTCCCAGTGCCTCGCTACTCTGCCTGTAAGGACATACTGTGGGGGGATGTGGCTACTTCTCACTGCTTGCCTTTTAGTCAGCTAGCACTACTGAACGTTTGCAGCCTTAGAGCTGGCTGTGTGCTCAAGTGCCAGGCCACCTCCCAGACTCTGTGGTGTTACCTGTGATTGTTTTTTTTTTTTTTTTTGTGGAACCGGGGATTGAACTCAGATCTTTGCATTTGCCAGTCAAGCGCTTATCCTACTGAGCCATCTCCCCGGCCCCTACCTGTGATTCTTAATAGCTGTTTTTCTAAGAAATACAACTATGTGCCTACTCAGCGGTGGTGAGCCTTTCAGAGTTTGCAGTGATAGCAGCTCACTGCAGCATGCACGCCACAGGTTCCCCACTGCTGCCCCAGCCTTGGCTCGGGGCTAGAGGTCAGTTAGTGGGTGCTATCTGAGAAGCTACAGATTTCAGTCACAGCCGTTCAGTTCATGTGTGTGCGTGTGCGTGTGCACTGGGGCCTGACCCCGGCCTCGTACTACACACACATTACCACTGAGCTACTCCCTTAGTCCTATTTGCTTTTATTTTTTCCTTGTGGTGCAAGGGCTCAAAGCCCGCGTCTCACACACTGCTAGACAAGCGCTCTAGCACACTAAGCTGCGTTCCCAGCCCAACTCTTTCCATTTATAGCACTGCATTCTGGGCTGGTACCTGACTGCACTAGCTAAAAATTACTCATCTAGTTCCCAGAATTCCACTCCCCTTCCCGGTCATCACCAGCTTTTGACTTGGTTGGCTATTTTGGTCTGTGTTAGAACACTGTATTTCCACAGAACCACATATAATGACTTTCAGGTTCTTTTTTAGAAATTGAATGCCTAGACTTCAATTTTGTGAATTATGTCCCATCTCCCCATCTGGACATCATCTGCTTCCTGGCTACCTGCTCTGTTGCTCTTGGACAGTAGAGCTGTGGTTTGGCTCCTTTGCTATCTCTTCCTGTCCTTTTTCTTTCCAAGAGAGATTGCATCTCCCTAAACCTGCAGCTTTCTGTGCTTCTCTCCCTTCTGTTAAATACACTTCACCCTCACACCTGTGCCTGGGGAACCTTATTTCTTAAGTTACTCCACAGAGATGGTAAGTAACATTTGCTGTCTGTAAGAAACTAGGAAATTGGCTGGGTGGGAGCGTGGTGAGATTCAGGGTGGCCTCGAACTCGCAACTATCGGCCTGCCTAGGCCTCCCACGTGATGGGATTCCAGGCACGTACCACCACATCCAGCTGAGCTAGGGAATTTATCACACCCCACTGCGTCATCTTTTTTTTTTGCTCCGAATGCCTTCAGGGCAGGTTTGGCTGGCTGGAGTTGTGGGGCTTGAACTGCAGCCACCTGAGCCTGACGAAGCAGCCCCTTAAAGGACTGAGCTAGGGCAGCCCCATCACCCCGCTGTCTTGACGTGGGATTTCTTCAGACTCCCACTGGTTTCCTTATCTCCTTGGAGGTATCAGAGTCGCCCATGCTGGTCTTGAGCTCCCAGGCTCAAGTGATCCTCCTGCCTCAGCCTCTTGAGTAGCTAGGACTACAGAATGCATATTGTGCCTGGTTTGAGCTGATTTTTATTAGGGCTTTTTTTTCTTTCCTTTTCTTTCTGGTGGTACTGAGCATTGCACCCAGAAGCACTCTACCTGTGCTGTATCCACAGTACTTTTTATTGGTTGAGACAGGGTCTTCCTAACCTCAAACTTGCAGCCCTCCTTTCTCGGACTCCAAGTGCTGGGACAACAGGCGTGTGCCACCAGAGCCGGCACTAAGGTCACCTTTTACTGTTTCCCTTCCTTAAAAAATGCTCATGCATGATGGCATGAGAGTCTTTAAAACTGGGAACATCTTGAAGTTCTAACCTAATCTGCCCACTAGAGCGCCTGGGCATTTCAACAGGTTCTCACTTTCGTAATTTTTCAGATACTTTATTTCATTTAGAATTGCACTGTTTACAAATTCTCCTTAAATATCTTAAGCTATAATCTCTGTATCTCTTTTTCTTTTTTTAAAGACAGTGTCTCACTGTGTAGACCAGGCTGGTCTTTTTTTTTTTTTTTTAACCAGGGATTGAACTCAGATCCTTGTGTTTGCCGTCAAGCGCTTATCCTACTGAGCTATGCCCCCCGCTTTTTTTCTTTTTGGCAGAACCAGGGATTGAACTCAGGCCCTTGTGCTTGCCGGGCAAGTACTTATTCTACTGAGCCATCTCCCCAGCCTCAGGCTGGTCTTAAACTCACTATGTAGCCCAGGCTGGCCTCAAATTCAGTGATCTCTTGTCTCAGCCTCCTGGCATGCAACACCACACCCACCTTCTAACTGCAGTCTGCCATTACATAACCCTTCAAAATCTGACAGTGACTCCTAAGTTTTTATGTTATTTTTTACCATTTGACATAACTTCTAAACTCCATAACTTCTTTTAACATCCTGTCAAAACAGCAAATTTCTAGGCTTGTAGTAGCCTCCTAAGTGTTATTCTACATCGTTATACCTAGAGTAGAAGCCAAATTGTTCCCCAAGAAGTAAATTGCTCCTTAAAGGATCCTCCAGCATTACAGCCCAGAGAGGAGAGGTTCTCTTAACTTTCTTCTCAGGCTGTCTCCAGGGAGGCTCAGAAGTAGAAGCTGGATTTGTGCAGTGTATACACTGTTCACCAGACCTTAAAAACTTTTTTTTGGCTGGGGGGGGGGGCACGGAACCAGGGATTGAACTCAGGCCCTTGCGCTTGCCAGGGAAGTGCTTATTCCACTGAGCCATCTCCCCGGCTCCTCAAAACTGTCTTGACCAGAAAATCTGTAGAATTAGCTAATTGTTAGTTTTCAGTGCAATTCAGAGTGAGAATTTTTATCTTAGAAGAAAAATACTTCTTAATACACCTTTGGGCCTCATACTCTGAGCCCTGCATATTCTATCACTGATTAGTTTCATCCCTGCGAATGGGTTTGTGTGTGAAGTACTTAGGAACTAGCCTGGCACGCGGTGGGTGTTGTGTTTAGCATGCTGTCACTAGATGAAGCACTGAGGTCCTGGCAAAGGCTATCTTAAAATTCTTTGTCTTTATACTTTCAGAGTTTAGATGTGCTGCCTGGCAACTTTCCGTGTTTTGTGACTTGGCCCTGGGCCTGCAGTCTCAGCCAGCGGCCACAGCTTCCTATAGAAACTATCTTTTTACCTGCATACGTCTTGCCCGGATTCCAGGACAGTTTTTCTCACATTTGCCTAAAAGCTGCCCTAGAGCATCAAGCTTCTCAGTTCTTCAAAACTTATCCCCAAGAATAGCCTAGCTTAGTTCAAAAGCAGACTATTTTCATTTCATCTTTAGAGCAGACTCCTGGGCAAATCTTACAGCATGCGGCTCTAAGGGCGCCAGGGCTAAGGACCTTCCCCAGCGGCTGCTGGGGGCGCTCAGAGCCGTGGCCCCACACGGAGGGCAGATGGCGGATTCCACATCCCACAGACCCGTTTCCTAATCTGAGATTAATATTTTATTACTGAACAGAGACTGGTGCTGTGATGAAGATGTAATAACTAGGATTAATGAGATTGGGCTTTTTTCCAATTCTGCGTACCAATGACAAAAGTTAAAGTACTTTGTGTTTAATCTGCATTCTAATGTTAATTTTAAAACAGCAATTCTCATGGACATATGGTAAATATTTCTAACTCTATCAATTAAACAAATTTATGACTAGCATGAAAAATAAATTTTCTGGGCTGGTGAGGTAGCTCAGCAGACTAAGCTCCTGCTTAGGCAAGCGCTGGGACTGGGGTTCGATCCCTGGCACCACATGCTCCTCCTGCCCCACCCCCAGGCACTAAGCCGGCCACCAGAGACCCGGCGTGGTAGCCCACGCCTGTGATCCCAGTGCTGGGGAGGCTGAAAACGCGAGGATCACTACCAGTCCAAGCTGGGTAGTGAGGCCCTGTACCAAATGCATAAATCTCTAGCAAGGACTGGTAACAAGTGAACATGAATGGAGCAGCACCTCCGCAGCTTTGGCTTTAGTAATCAGAGCTGTTTCCAGCGACATGGCGTCGCTTAGGCTCCCTGCGCACAGCCAGCACAGGAGGGCCGAGAGTCCCGTGTGAAGTAAATTTATCAAGCTACATCCCAGAAGCAGGGCGGTGGTCACGAGGCAGGCGCTCTTCTCCCAATCAGCCTGAACTCCGCAGGAGGGCAGTCACTTGCTGGCAAAGGCCACAATTTGTTCCTGCAGAAAAGGGGGCAGGAGTGAGTGGCCCTGGGATGCACGCAGGTGGGGTGGGGAACCCAGGGCAGCGCTGCTGGCCGAGCAGGCTGGAGGCCGGGGCGACTCCTAGGACCTCCCCACCGCGATGAAAGAACAAGTGGGCAAGTACTTGCATCGTCTTTGTGCCCCATGCCCAGCAACAGTGAGGTGCTTATAATGAAATACCCAAAGTGATCAGAAACAGCCAGCGAGACCCTCCTCAGGAGTCTTGGTTTTATTTCAGCAAAGAAGAAATCTGTACGCGGAAGCGTCTCAGCCGCTGGGCCTCCGGTATGGCTCGGCTGCGCGCCCATCGGCCGGCGCGGCCGGGACTCCCGCTGTAACTACTGGGCCCAGGGAGGAAGGGCGCTACTAGCCAGTCCTTCCCGCGCGCAGCAAGCTCGGAGAACCGCGGCGGCCTCTTACTTTGAGCGGGGAGATGGCGTCGGTGGCCTGCAGCCCCCACGTCCGCAGCAGCACGAGCGGCGCCGCCCTGCTGGAGTACAGCCTTTTCAGCAAGTCGGTGGCGGCCAGCAGAGCGGTGTTGTGGCGCTGTCTGTCCGTCTCGTACCGCGTGAGGTGGCTCATGGAGCCTGCGGGAAAGGGCTGGGTTGGCGCCTTCTCCGCTAATCAAGGCTGCTGCCCCTCCGCGCACCCAGATACACACGATGCTGACCCCATCTCGCTATCGAGGGCCATTCTGGGCTCTGATCTTTACCTCCGTGACCTCCGCACAACTGAATCGTTACCTAAGTCTTTTCCATTGAAGGCTGCAGTGCTGAGATGACGGAGCAGGCTGGCGATGTCCCCAAAGCCCATGTTGACCCCTTGTCCAGCAAGTGGGTGGACCCTGTGGGCTGCGTCCCTGGGAAGGGGGTAGCTTTCAGGCCCGGCCTCCGGCAGCCGCGAGAAGGCCGCGCCCACCCTGCTGCCGTCTTACCCGATGAGCGCCAGGCGCGGCCGGACGTACTCCGCTGCGTGTCCCAGCCCCAGCGGAAACAGGACCCTGCTGTTGGCGTCCACTCTGGCTACACTCGGGGGTAGCTGGCGAGCCGAGGCCTTCGTGGGCTTCAGGAGAGCGACAGCGAACTGCAGCGCACTAGTGGCCGAGCTGATGAGTTCGGTGTGGTTGGCGTCACTCCACTGAGCCCCATAACAAAACCAGGAGCATTCTCAGTGCCGGGCAGCGGGCGCGGCGCGGCGACCCTCTTACCAGAGTGCGGCTAGGGCAACGCTACCCAACAAGCCCCATCTGAGCTGCACCGTGAGTGACGAACCCCTGAACGAATGCACAGTGGAGCTCCCAGGGCTCCCCACGGGCCACTCTACAGGGCTGGCTTTTCCCCTCTTCTGAGCACCTTCTGCCCGTCCCACCACTAAGGACAGGGCACCCGCCTGCGTAGCTAATCCTGTCATTTCTCACTGCCAAGTCTCCTTTCCACCAGGGTAACACCCCAGAACCCCAAGACACTGTCCCCTGAGCCCTCGCCGTGTGGCCCCTCTGTCTGCCACTGTGTACTTCCTCCACACCTGACTCCAAGCTTCCTGAAGGCAAGGACCGTCTCCACCTCTGCCTCTAGGGCTGCTACACAGACATCTTGTAATTACAGCTGCTCAAACGTGTTAGGACAGTGTCGGGCCAATGCCACAAATGCATAGTCAATGACCCAGAGAAGGGTAAGGGTCACCAATTATCTTGGAAATCACTTATTCTCACTGCTAGTAAAAAGCAGTGGTATAGAATTCTTTTGAGGGGGGAGGAACCAGGAATCCAACGCAGGACCTTGCACTTGTCAGGCAGGCCCTTGTGTCACCGAGCTATAGCTGTGGTCCTAGAATTTTTTGCTGTGAAGTTCTTAGTGGGGCTTCACTTAAAACCCAAACTTGAGGGCCACGCTGCTTGCAGAACCCAGCTTGCCCAAGCTCTGTGACCTCAGGCAAGTTCAGTACCTTTCTAAAAATAATTTTTTTTTTTTAGGGCCAGCCAAATAGCTCAGCGGATTAAAGTGCCTGCAAGCAGGTGCAGGGGCCGGGGGTTCAATCTCCGGGCCTGCCATGCCGGCCTCGCCCCTGTGGCATGCTGAGATGGCTATTTAGACTGGGGGTGGTGGTACATGCCTGTAATCCCAGCTCTTGGGAGGCTGTAAACAGGCGAATCATTATGAGTCTGATCTAGTTGTGAGACCCTGAACACCCTGTACACCTTTCCCTAAAATACAAAAATTAAAATAAAAAAATAAAATTTTAAATCATTTATATATTTATTTAGTCTCAACCTCCCCAGCCACCATGTCTGGTTCCAGAGCTGGCACAGCATGCAGTACTGGGGATCAAACCTGGATCCTTGTGCTTCCCAGGCAGGCGCTTCGGCCACTGAGCTACCACCCCAGCCCCAGAACATTTCTAAATGAGGCTAACCACTAGAACCTACCTTAAAAGTTTGCTAAACTAAGTAAATACATACAATAGTCTAAAGCCTTTTTGTTTTAAAAGCATTTTGGAATATAATGATAAATTAATAATTAGTGCAACTAATAAATTTATCTTTTTTTTATGTATTTAGTACAGAGTCTACAGAGTCTCACTATGCAGATCAGATCTTCATGTTTTCAGCCTCCCAAGCACTGGGATTACGTGCCATCATGCCCAGTCTCAAACGCTGTCTCAGTGTACCCTGGGGCCAGGGCCAGGGCCAGGGCCAGCACAGCACGCCAGGGATTGAACCCCAGTCTTGCCTAAGCAAGTGCTTTAGTCCTCTGGGCTATGTGGCTGGCCCTCGACTAATGAATTTAGATGAATATGAAATAAAAGCTCCAAAAACACAAATGCCCATATTATCCAGGCTGTACCTACTGCAGAATAATAATTGGCTGAGAGACTAAATGTATTAAATATACTGTAAGCATTTTATATAAACTATTTCATTTTATTGTATGGGATTAAACCCAGTGCTGTAGGCACATTAAGCAGGAACTAGACAGCTATACTCTCGCCCCACTGCTTTCCTTTGAAGTCTCTTTTCAGACCCGAGAGGCTGGAGGTAACTACTTCTGTTCTTCAGGGGATAAACAGAACCAATATTGAACCCCTGTCTGTCCACAAAGCTTACTCTTCAGCTCTGTGCTAGCACGTGCTCAAGCCTCTCCCCATGAATCAGGTTGCAAAGGTTCAGATGCTGGGACCCCACCACCATTATTCAAAATGATTGACATACGCAGCTCTAAAAAGGCAAGGCGGACCTCCCCGCTCAGCTGTGTCGGCCAGCACGCCAGCTGCCTACAACCCAGAAAGGTACTGCTGCATCTCGAGTGCTTCGTGTGCCCTCTTCTGCATGATCAGATCAAGGCCAGTCCCTCTCCCTACCCAGAACCACCTTCCAGAACCTACTGACCAGCAGTCAGGCCAGGGGATACTCACAAAGGCAGAGTTGACAGCATCCACAAACTCTTCCTCATGCATGCTGAGCAGCTGTGCGGCATGCTCGTGGGAGGTGGACCACACCAAGGAGCTCAGGGTGTCCGAGAGCTGCATCAAGAGAGTATCAAGGAGTTTTTGGTTTTCTGCGGAACCGAGGATTGAACTCAGGCCCTTGTACTTGCCAGGCAAGTGCTTATTCTACTGAGCCACCTCCACGGCCCCCAAAAAGAGGAACATTAATAGTGAGGCTAAAATTCTAATGAACTTGGGGCCTTTTGAGCACAACGGAAGACAAGAAGGGGAAACCAGGTTAGGCTGTGCATGTCCCCTCAAACCCAGAAAAAGGGCTAAGAAAGTCAGGTCCTAAGAGGAAGGGATGTCTCTAAGCAGACTGGCCAGGTGACTTCTTACCGGGAGCAGCGCAATGGGCCCAGATGGAAGAAACCTCTGCCAGGCTACATTGTTTTCTGTGGCCTGAAACATGGAAGAGAAAGGCTCTTGCAAAGAGCACCTGGGCCTGTGCAGTCTCATGAGGCAGCTCCAGATCTCACCTCTGACAAATGCAGAGTCGCCACGACAGCAGACTGGTCGTAGCTCCAGCCGACACTTGGGATCCCTGCAGCCTGCCGGACTGCCGAGTTGTGCCCATCAGCGCCAATCTGCACGGGACAGAAGCCTGCTAAGTCTCCCAAGCTCTGTGTATGTTATGCTTCTCCGGGATTTTCTTTCCTGATTGGTCACTCTAGTTCCAACTGCTGCTGGAAACTGCATCACCTCCATGGAGGCGAACAGGCCTGCTGTAAGGGCGGAAGCAGCTACCCTGCGAAAGGGGAAGGTAGTGGGCAAAGAGAAAAGCCAAGAGCTTCGAGGAGACAGTGACAGTAGGGTCGTGAGAGGGAAAGAGCCACCTACACTGCCAACACTGGTGCCCGCCCCAGCTCTCCCATCTTCCTCTTGTGACCTAAGATGGCCATGAAATTGCTTCCTGCATAGGACTCAAAACCCCCTCAGCTTGGGCAGTCCCAAGGGCGACAGGGCATTTTATAACCAAAAGCCTTGCCTGCCGTCAGTGCAGCTGAGACAGACTGGCTCAGAGGTTTAGGGTGTAGGACAGGGTGGAGAGCATAAGACCGTAGGGAAACAAGGACTTCCAACTACCAGCAGTGTGGTCTGGAGGGTGCTGCCGTCACCCAGGGTAATATGCACCCATGGGCTGGAGTCCGCCATGGAAAACGGGCCAGGCCAGGAATAGCCAACAGCTCTGCTCCTGTACAGGACTGTCACTCGATCTGGGGAGGCCAAAAGAGGAAGAGAGCAAAAGATGAAAAAGGTAGCCATAAGGCCAAGGGAAAAGCCAGAACCAAACCTACAGCGACGAGCCTGACAGCAATGTCTTACCACTCACTGCCAAAACCAAAGCAAGATCAAAAAAGTGAAGGCTGGGGAGAGCCCAGCAGTCTAAGCGCCTGCCTGGCAAGCACAAGGTCCCAAGTTCGATCCCTGTTACCACATGTATGCCTGCCCCAGAACCAGGCATGGTGGTGCACACCTGTAATCCCAGTGCTGGGGAGAGTGGGACAGAAGGATCATTACGAGTCTGAGCTACATAGCGAAATCCTATACCAAAAAAATAAAATAAATAAAAAGAAATGAAAAAGAAATAAAGTGAGTCAAGCAGTCAGTGATGCGTTCTGAGGCTGAAGAGCGGAAGCCACAGACCGAGCTGGGGGTTGCCAGCAAAGCCGCCCTCAAGCTCTCACAGGAACTGGCTGCCTGAAGCGTCCTCCTCGTCTTCCCGTCTCACTCCACAGCTCCCAAGGCCTGCTTACGCTTTTTCTTTTTTAATTTTATTGAGAAATAAATATGAATGAGACAGTTTCAAAGCTGAATAGGACAGTTTCAATAATCAATACATTGTACATTATCTTCTTAGTGGTTATCCATAGTACAAGCAGCAGACAGGATATTCTGTCCAAACACTGTTAGTACAAATCTTTCTTCTCATTGAATTAAGTGAAAGGGGCTGTATAACTACCCTATTTTGTATATATAAATACAAAATGATCTTTCCTTCGTATCCCCTTTTTTTGTTTAGTCCTGTCAGAGGTGGGAATTCTATTGGCATCTAAATACTATAGGTGCTCAGATTCTGCAAGGCAATCTAACACTGCCCAGCAGTCTATAATATTAGTGGGTTATCCTCAGAAGTTGTTGACTTGAGCCTTTTACAGCTCATCGTATTAATATGGCTTTACTTTATATACCTCATTTTTACACTTTTCTGCTGGATGGTTAAGACCAAGATAAAGCAAGACCTATATAGCAAGACATGTAACTTTGGTATCTGATAAGGTCAGCCAAGTCCCCTCAGGATTTGTCCTGTAGCCCTGGACTGCACTTTGCAGATCCTTGTCAGTGTCAGCCATGAGGATGAGTCGCGGCCATTGCTTGACCAATTTGCTGTGAACTGCTTACACTTTTGGAGCTCACACTTACAGAGCCGACACATACAAAGCACACAGAGCTCACACGTAGAGCACACTTAAGTAGAGGACTCGAACGAGCAGAGCTCACAGACACGGAACACAGCTGACACAGCACGCGCAGCCCACAGGCACAATCACACTGAGTTCACACAGGCACACGAAGAGCGACACTGTGGGCACCACACAGGCACAACGCATTCTGTATAGTGAAGGTTTTCTTCCCACTAGAAATCACTTTATTTTTAATTTTTAAAAGTAATTTATTTATTTATTTACTTATTTATTTGGAACAGGGTCTTGCCATCACCTCGGACTTGTAGCGATCCTCCTGTCTCAGCCTCCCCAGCACTGGAATCACAGGCGTGTACCACCATGCCTAGGGATCTGGGGCTTGCCAGGCAGGTGGTTAGACCACCAAGCTATCTAGCCAGCCCCTCATTTTATTTTTTGATTAAAAAATAATATGCAAAAAACAAATAATATGCATGAGCCAGGGATATAACTCAGTGGCATAGCACTTGCCTGGCAAACTTGAGGGCATGAGTTTGATTCCCAGTACCCGCCGCCAAAATTAGTAGTAGTAATAATAATAATAATAATAATAATAATAATAATAATAATAGGACCAGGAGATAGCTCAGCAGACTAAGCACTTGCTTAGGCCAGCGCAGGGACTGGGGTTCGAAACCTGGCATCACATGCCTCGCTGGCCCTGCCCCCAGGTGTGCTGAGCCGGCCACCAAGTCTGGGCATGGTGGCGCATGCCTATAATCCCAGCCCTGGGGAGGCTGGAACAGGAGGATCCTGTCACTGGAAGTCCAAGCTGTGTAGTGAGACCCTGCACCAAATACATAAATGGAAAAAAAAAAAAAGCTTTTTTGGTGCTTGTGTCAGCAGCACACACGCTAAAGTCTTTGTTTTTCTGGTGCTAGGGACAGGAGCCAGGGCCTTCACACCAAGGGCCAGCCCCAGCCTTTGTTCTAGTTTTTATTTATTCTGGTTTTACTTTGTTCTGTACTTGTAAGTTAAGCTTCCCACAGTGCTGGGGTCACACACCTGCACCACCATGCCCAGGAGCAAGAGAAAATTTCGAATGTTCTCAGAGAAACACAACAAATTCTGGAACGGGGGGCCTGCCCCTTAGCTCAGTTCTTTAAGTGGCTGCTTCAACAAAGCAGTCAGGCTCAGGTTGCTGTGGTTTGATCCCCACAACTCAAGCCAGCCAAGCCTGCCCTGAAGGCATTCGGAGCAAAAATAAATACATAAATTCTGGAACAGAAAGATATGCTTACCCCGATATGAACATTACATAATGTCCACATGTATTACAATATCACAATAACCCTTATTTGTAATTTTTTTTTTTTTTGCTCCTTGAATGCCTTCAGGGCACTTTTGCATGGCTAGGGTGTTGTGGGGATCGAACTACAGCAAACTGAGGCTGCCAGCATTGTGGAAGCAGCCACTTGAAGAACGGAGCTAGGGCTGGGCCCCATTTGTAATTTTTATACATCAACTAAAAGCTATCTTCTCAAACAACTGTGCCCTCCAAAATATCAAGTTGTGGGGCTGGGAAGATGGCTCAGTAGAGTAAGTGCTTCCCTGGCAAGCTCAAGGGCCTGAGTTCAATCCATGGTTCCACCAAAACAAAACAAAATATATCAAGTTGTATACAGTAAAAATATGGCCTTTTGTTTGCCATTCAATAAGAGGTTCACTGGGGAGGCTGAGGCAGATGCCAGCTGTAAGTTCAAGGCCAGCCTAAAATACATGGCTAAACCCTGTCTCAAAAAAGGGGATGGGAAGGTTAGGTAATAACTTCACTCCAAAAGTCTTCATGCCAGAAGTGGAGGTGCACGCCTAGAATCCCAGCACTCGGGAGGCGGAGGCAAAAGGAATGCTCTGAGTTCAAGGCCAGCTGGGCTACAGTGAGACCCT